ACAACAGCGGCTAAGCAGGTTATAGCAAAATCCTGGAAATCCCCCACCCTTAGTGTTGCTGCCGTCAAAACCAGAATAACACAAGCCATGATACATGCAAAGGTGAAAGCCACAATTCTAGACACGATCCCTAAATTTTTGCACATATGGAACCCCTGGGTAGAGCGCTTCCTCCCTCCTAACTTTGTTGAATCACTCCTTCTCCCTTGATTTCTATACTGTGCGCCTAGGATACTGTCAATAGTCCTTCGTGGGCAACACGTAGAGTCTGCTGTAAACTAGTTGATTGTTCATGGAGTCATCGTTATTGTTCCTTTTCCCATACCTTCCCTTCCTCCCCCGTCTGATCCTCCTCCAAACTTCCCCCTACTTCTTAAATGCACTTAGGAGACGTTACTTTGATTGGCTGGGACGATAATGTCATCTATTGCCGACTCTTATGTTCCTGCTTTTGCTAGAATTGTATAGACATCTGTAATGTGATCCTCATTCATTTTTCTTCAATGTCCTACTGCCTCTTCAATGTCCAATGTATATCAACAAAGTCTCCTTGGTTGTGTTGTTAAAGTTTTCTCTCTTGTTAATAAAAATGTTTGAACAAGCAAAATGATCTAGCAACAACATAAAATTACTAAAAGTCCCAGACAAAATATATATTGAACATATAGTGAATTACAGTCCCATGGAACGCACGTCGGCCATCACCATTGAGATTCATGATATACACACAGGCTGAATGGACTGATGCCGGGTGTTTGTGCACCGTCACATGTGAGTGTATTGGCATTATTTATCTATGCCATGGTCTTTAATAAACATTACACTTAGAGCATTTTGATCGATTTGGTTTATTTGACCTACTTGGAGCATTATCTTTACCTTGAGGAGAGCCTGGGATTGGGAATCCATCTAATATCTGTGCACTCAGAGCTTCATTACCCCCTATCTGGGGGGTCGCCATCCTTGGTCCTCTGGATCCATATTCCATATTAAGAGTTCAGGAAGCCTGGCCCATGAAAGCTTGCTGTTAGCTGTCAGCATATTGCATGACCATAAAGCACTTTTTGACCACCATAATAGGGGTCAATAATTTCTGGTGAGTGGGGAATTCACTTATTGTCTACACGTGGTGGAAAAGAAAACCCTTTGATCTAGGGGATTGTATTTTCATTGGACTGTCATTTACTATATGTTCAATATATATTTTGCCTATATTTTGGGACTTTTAGTATTTTTTATGTTGTTGCTAGATAATTTTGACATTGTTTGTCATATGGTTTATTGATTTATTGCCTACCTATTCATGTATCTACCTTATAAGTGTATTTCACTATTTAGGAGCAGCTACCACTATGCTGGCTCAATGCTGTCAATAATTCAAAAACTTCTGATTTATTCACTTATTTAGGCACCACAATATTACAATATTAATTTTTCACAAATACAATTCTTGTTGTTTTGTCTCCTTAAATATGTAAACAAAGTGTATGCTCAAATAAACATATACAGTATAATCACCCAAAGTGCAAAAATCATAAATATATAACATAAAAGTCCACCATAAGAACATTAATCAAGATTTGTATGAAAAGATCACAAAATTCCTCGTGTTTCACCAGGTGAGTTCCACCGTCATCACTGTCACACTCTTACCAATAGACAAGACCCCCAAATTATAGGTGGTCTTAACTTGCTCACAGATGTCAAAGGACTGCCCTGGCAATCATGTCACAGAGACCAGAGAAGTATAGGGCACCTCAGCAGGGAGCTCCATCCATTCACCTCTGCTCACAGAACACCATGGGGGTTATTTACTAAACCTGAAGAGTGCACAACCTGGTGCAGTTCTGCATAGAAACCAATCAGCTTCCAGGTTGTATAGCCAAAGTTTAACTGAACAAGCTGACGTTAGAAGCTGATTGGCTACCATGCGTAGCTGTACCAGATTCTGAGTGCTCCAGTTTTTGTAAATCTCCCCCCATGAGTCTGGCACAAAAAACAGGTAACAATCCTCATAGTGAAGGTTTATTAGGACATATAATAAAATGCTACTCACAAAAGAAAATTAACACAGCTGTATCAAACATAACTCCACTGCTACCTTTGACCACGCAATGACGTCAGTGCAGGCTACGCCCCGGAGTGTTTCTTCTTATAGGTTATTCTCAAGATCTACATATCTTAGTGTTTAATACATTAACAAAAATATCAAAAGCTGTATGCAACATTGTGAAAGTCACGTAACAAATACTTCAAAATAAACACAAAATTTGTACTCAATGAAGATATACTATATTTTCCTTGTAATAAATGAATGGTGGGATTTTTTAAAAAAAATGTATATTTTTCTGGTCATATTTTTGTTCTACTTTATAAATATATAAATTGACTTTACATTTTAATAGAATCAAATATAACATTATGAACAGCTTTAAAAAAGACTGTTGAAGTGAAGACAAAACCTTATCTCAAAACTGCAAACTGTACTATGCCAGCGGTTGATGGAAAGCTTTACAGCTTTGAATTTAATTCTCTTGGCTACTTTTATGAGAGAAATCATATTCTAAAAAAGTATGTTAAAAAAATCTACTTTCTTAACACCATAGCGTGACTGATATTGTGCAGGCAATCATACAGGAATTCATTTCTTGCCATTTTTTAGAAAAAAAAGTAAATTGTTTCACTGTAATGTAAGTTCTTTACACATATAGTATAGTATAATTAAATCTCTGTAATACCTTACATTTATATCTTAATATATCTTGTGGTATCACATTCAACTGTAATCAACAAATGGCAGATATCTTTAGTATGCCTCCCATCCATTTTCATGTATCAACATCAAAATGTTTTGTTTTTTGCTAGAAGAAAATACAACTTTTTTACAAAAGGAAAACATGAGAAATATTTTATTTTGCCTGAAATATGTTCTCAAAAATGCCACCTGGCCACATTACTCATTCACAGTCCTCCTTAGCAGCTGTGGGCTTGTAGTTCTCAATGAATTACCATGGCGCTGTGGAGTGCCATGGTAGTTCATTGAGTCTTCCTGTCAGTATATTTGCTTGCCCGTACATCCTGTACAGGCAAGCAGATATACTGACAGGTCAGCAGGAGACCTGCATGGCACCAGTGATCTACTGATTACTGGTGCAATGGTGTACAGGCGCCTGCAACAAAATATGCATTTATTATTTCTTAGCAAAAGGTGAACTTATCCTTTAACTACCTTCAGTGCTGATATAAGGTCATATTTTGTGTGGTGAATAGGACCTTTGTCAATTATTTGTGATCAAGAAGGTTTTCCATTTTCTTTTTTTAGAAATTACAGCACCCCCATTCTATTAACCAATATCAATTAAAAACATCAAAGGATCTTTTCTTTTCCTTTTACTGTGTTTTCCACTTGAGAAAGTACAAATCTGTGTAGAGTTAAATTTGGAGCTCCCCTATGTGTGTACTTTGCACTTTGCAGAATGCGGCCATGCCCAAGTATGTACATGATATTGTACTGAGTTGGTGGATATATCACGTCTGCCTTGCAGTAAATGGGTCATGGGTTCGATTCCCGACCATGGTGCCTCCTGCATGGAGTTTGCATGTTTTCCCTGTGCTTCCGTGGGTTTCCTCTGGGTGCTCCGGTTTACTCCCACACTCCAAAGACATGCTGATAGGTTAATTGGATCCTGTCTAAATTGGCCCTAATATATGTATGTATGAATGTAAGTTAGGGATCTTAGAATGTACACCTCTTGAGGGTTAAAGACTGCTGTGAGTGTTCAATATATATATATGTGTAAAGCGCTGCGTAAATTGACAGCGCTATATAAGTACCTGAAATAAATAAATAAATATATGAGAAATACTAAGACAGGAAATAAAGTATTATGAAAGGAATGTGGAAGGGAATGTTGGACAACAGGAAAAATAACTGTTTAATTGTTTAGTCTACTGTTTCTTGAAAAATAGGTACTCTAGGGTACTTTTGACATGTCCTGGAGAACTTCTGGTTCTGAAATTTAGCTCAGAATGGCAGAGACAGTTCTGGGAAGTAAAAAGGGTATACAGAGGATGTGCCAATATGTTTATTGATGGTTGCTCTGAAATTAAATAAATGGACATATATTATAGAACACATGGAAAACATACTGTATATTGTTATAGCAAGTACATTATAATTTAGGTCAAGATCACAGGCTTATGACGGCCAAAGACAAAAAGTCTGATGGCCTTCAGTTCTTCTTGATCAATTACTACAGCTGTCATATACCACTTTCATTTCTGGATGATTCAGTATGAACTTTCTTCTTTCACATGACAGCTCTGTAGGCTATAAACCTCGGTGTCATCTTATCTCTGCACTCTTAACAGCAAACAGCAAAGAATCTGAAGGCAAAATTCTAACATATTTTTTAAAATGTTTTATGCTAGTGTTGCATAAACCTAAGTTTCTGAATTTCGCACTTGGCTATTTCACTTCTAAACTCTTAAAAAGCAATTACAGAAAACTCAGATAAAAGTTTTTTTTTAAGATTGTTCATAGCTAATGTCTATGACTGACAACTATTTATTGCTTGTACAACACAATCTCTGGAATTTGTAAAACTTGTCATTGACACTCATTACAAATCTGTCTCCCATATGTGCAACAAATGGCAACAAATGGCATACTTGCTACAGATTCATGCAGCTGTCTGTAAGGTGTATATCAGGGGTGTCCAAACTTTTTTGGAAGAGTGCCAGATTTGATGAAGTGAACATGTGCGAGGGCCGACCATTTTGCCCGACATTCTGATGAACCATTAACATTAAATGCAAATGAACTATTTTATGCAAAAGTTTATTGAAAACGGCATACTTTTCATTTTGTGACTTGGATGACAAATCTAAACAGGTGTTAAATCACTCTGCCAGCACAGGGAGAAGGAAAGCCCAAATCTCACGAGATCTCGGAGGTCGCGAGATTTGGGCTTTGTTTCTCCTTGCACTGTCTGATGACATCAAGCGATCCTGAGCACCAATCCATTATAGCCCAAATTGATACCGTATTTTTCGCTCCATAAGACGCACCTGACCATAAGACGCACCTAGGTTTTAGAGGCGAAAAACAGGAAAAAAAAATTCTGAACCAATGGACTGCAGACATAGTACAGGAGATGACCAGAGACTGCGGACACAGTACATGAGATGACCAGAGACTGAGGACACAGTACAGGGGATGACCAGAGACTGCGGACACAGTACAGGAGATGACCAGAGACTGCGGACACAGTACAGGAGATGGCCAGAGACTGCGGACATAGTACAGGAGATGGCCAGAGACTGCGGACACAGTACAGGAGATGGCCAGAGACTGCGGACACAGTACAGGAGATGGCCAGAGACTGCGGACACAGTACAGGAGATGGCCAGAGACTGCGGACACAGTACAGGAGATGACCAGAGACTGCGGACACAGTACAGGAGATGACCAGAGACTGCGGACACAGTACAGGAGATGACCAGAGACTGCGGACACAGTACAGGAGATGACCAGAGACTGCGGACACAGTACAGGAGATGACCAGAGACTGCGGACACAGTACAGGAGAGATGACCAGAGACTGCGGACACAGTACAGGAGATGACCAGAGACTGCGGACACAGTACAGGGGATGACCAGAGTCTGCGGACACAGTACAGGAGATGACCAGAGACTGCGGACACAGTACAGGAGATGACCACAGACTGCGGACACAGTACAGGAGATGACCAGAGACTGCGGACACAGTACAGGAGATGACCAGAGACTGCGGACATAGTACAGGGGATGACCAGAGTCTGCGGACACAGTACAGGAGATGACCAGAGACTGCAGACATAGTACAAGGGATGACCAGAGTCTGCGGACACAGTACAGGGGATGACCAGAGTCTACGGACACAGTACAGGAGATGACCAGAGACTGCGGACATAGTACAAGGGATGACCAGAGTCTGCGGACACAGTACAGGGGATGACCAGAGTCTGCGGACACAGTACAGGAGATGACCAGAGGCTGCGGACACAGTACAGGAGATGACCAGAGACTGCGGACACAGTACAGGAGATGACCAGAGGCTGCGGACACAGTACAGGAGACGACCAGAGACTGCGGACACAGTACAGGAGATGACCAGAGACTGCGGACACAGTACAGGAGATGACCAGAGACTGCGGACACAGTACAGGAGATGATCAGAGACTGCGGACATAGTACAGGAGATGACCAGAGACTGCGGACACAGTGCAGGGGATGACCAGAGACTGCGGACACAGTACAGGGGATGACCAGAGACTGCGGACATAGTACAGGAGATGACCAGAGACTGCGGACAGTACAGGAGATGACCAGAGACTGCAGACATAGTAAATAATGGTAAATGGTAGCCCCAGTAGTAATTCCCTGCGCACCACCTGGGATCACTCGGCCCACGTTCCGGACCCCACAGATGAGCTGCCCAATATATAACTTACGGCCCTCCACTAGTGATTCTGCGAACGCCACTGAGGACTCCAGGGATCTGTCGAGCGGGAATTGACGTCATCAGCCGGCACACAGAGAAGGAAAGCAGAGAAATCTCACGAGATCTCGGACGTCGCGAGATTTGGGCTCTCCTTCCTGCACCAGCTGATGATGTCAAGAGATCGCTGGAGTCCTCAGTAGCTTTCAGGGAATCACTACCGGGGGCCGTAAGTTATGTATTTGGGTAGCTCACCTGTGGGGCCGTTTCAGTCCGGAACGCGGGCCGCAATTGGCCCGCGGGCCGGACTTTGGACATGCCTGGTGTATATGAACCTGTTGCAGAATTGCTTCTGACAGAATTCTGTCCCAGACAAGCAACAATATGTAATCCACCATGGAATAGAATTTACCTTAAAGTGTTACTAAACCCACAACAGTAAAATCAGTCTGTATAAGTAGTAAAGCATGCTTGTTATACTCCCTGTGGAACCTAAGGGGGGGTCATCCTCTGCATTGTGTAAAAAGGCTTTTTATCCTTTCTTCTCTGTTCCTCCCCTTTTTCAAGTGACCACCACTTATCTACAGACTGAACCGGAGGCATGCACATGCTCAATTGGTGTGTATTGCTAGAGAGGTTTTTTATTTTTCTTGGGAGAGTGCATGGGATCAGCACAGGGCCAATCAGCACTGTCCAGACAGAGGTCAAAGAATTTCCATCCTCCTAGAGCAGAAAGAAGACTCCTCCTATAAGCTTTAGCTAGTGCTGGGCTGGAAACAGATAGAAGTCACAAGACTGCTCTAAATTGTGATAAGAAAAGGTATTTAGCAGTTTATATTTACTAAAATAATTGCACTTCTATGTTCTGTGTACTGTGGGAGACCAGATATAGTGAATGCAGGGTCCTTACATATACACAGTGGAGTGACTGACGTCAGGTGATACACAGATATTAAACAAATCCTCCTGCATAAGTTGTACCTGTTTATCTGCAGTATTCTCTTCTTTACATCTGTTCAAAGTCCAGAATTTGTAAAGCATGTCTAACAGTTTAGAAAAAGAGAGCAGAGAGCTGAAATCACATTCTGTGGAGTTCAGATAGGAGAACTTTGACACACACACAGCACACAGGAATAGAGCTGAGGTTGTCAATCACAGGCTTTGCCCTCCTCTGTCACCATTTTTCTCTTGGTGACAGGAAAACTTGTCAGAAGCGCTCATGATAATAGCAGGGAAGTGAAGCAGCAGACAGAAATGACACTTAGGGGGAGATTTACTAAGAATCTTGTGCAGCTGTGCATGGTAGACAATTAGCTTCTTACTTCAGCTTGTACAATTAAGCTTTGGCAATAAATCCTGGAAGCTTGTTGGTTTCTGTTCAGAGCTGCTCCAGATTGTGCACTTTTCAGTTTTGGTAAATAACCCCCTTATTGCTTAATTGAGAAAAGTACAGACTATTCAGGGATATGCTTTGTTCGTATTTCATGTCTCAGGTTAACAACCGCTTTAACTTAACTGCTATGGTGTAGTTTTTACTGCTATGGTGCGGACCAGCTGGGAAGAATCACATATATATATATATATATATATATATGGGATTTTTTTTTCTGTGTAGAGATGCTTTCACCCTCCCGGCGACCCTGCTGTGCTGTCACATGTCACAATTACCCCTTTGAATTATGTTATCCCCTTTCTATTCATTAATCTGTCATTACTACAGTGACACTAATACAGAATACATCTTGGCCTAAATTTATGAAGAAGTTTTGTTTTTTTTTTTTTATCTTTTTTTGGATATGTTTTATAGCAGAAAGTAAAAAAATATTTTTATTTCAAAATCTTCAGTCTTTTTTCATATATATAACTGCGACTTAATGTGATTCAAAAAAGTATACACTTTATTGTTACAAATCGCTTAGAAATTCCACCACAATAGGTGAATAATGCCTAAGCTCTCCAACACCACTTAAAATAAGGATTGACAACGTTGCCACCTTAAAGAAAAACCCAAGAGCCCGGGCTAACGTATGCTCATTCCATTCACATAAAATGTACAAACCAACCCAATAAGCGTATTAGACCAACAGTTGTCCCCACTTCAGGAATACAAACACCAAAGCCCACCACAAGGCCACTAAATGGGCTTTATTTATCTCAGTTGAGGATACATGATGCTAGTGCTCGGTCTTCCCAAACCTGAACTCACGTCTTTGAAGTATAGAAAATAACAACACCAGCATCAAGATGATCGGGGTTGAATGACCTAATGCGCCAATGCTGGTTTTATATATGTATACTAGGTAATAAGTCCGCTTAATGGTGTTCAGATGATGCTACTAACATCAATGCATTTTGCTCACTGAATATTGAAGAAGCTCACTCACGATTCAGTGTGTGAGATTTCATGACGTTGGTAGTGTCATGGAGCTCGAGCTTAGCTCACTCCAGTGTCTTACCTGACTGCACTTTGGAATTAAGTATCCCATGGGGAGCTTACCGTGAATGGCAAAAGGATCATCATGGCTTCAGGGCTCAACCAGAAACATAAGAAGAAAAGGAGGAAAGTGACAGGCGGGTACCTGGCTTTAAGTATCGGATGGGTGAGAGCCTCTGTGCATTAAGGAATTGCCATGCCTGTGGGTTTGAGAACTAATATCACTATGTTAAAGTGTTAAAGGCTGATGTGAACGTGAGTATATGTTTATGGCCCCAGCCTTGGTCTCCCCACTCGGGTGTATGTGATTCAATTGATATATCACCACTAACTCGTAGTCTGTCCACCCTCCACCTGGACTTTCATGATCTGTCTGTGAATAGCAGTTGGCCAACTGATTGAGCTGAGAACTAGCTATGGCCCACTTGATGGAGGACTGTCTTTGAATGAAGGCGCCTAATGCTGTATTCCCTTTTTGGGACTACTTATATCAAGTCCTTGGCCAGTTTTTACATAATTGTACTAATGGACAAGTATTTAAGTTCTCAAGGCAGTCTGAACATTATTAAGCGGACTTATTACCTAGTATACATATACAGAACCAGTATTGGCTCATTAAGTCATTCAACCAAGATAATCTTGACTCCGGAGTTGTTATTTTATATACTTCAAAGACTGAGTTGCCCTCAGTTCAGGTTTGGGAGGACCAAGCACTACCATCCCCTGAACTGGGGACAACTGTTCCGCTAATACGCTTATTGGGTTGGTTTGTACATTTTATGTGAATGAGCATACGTAAGCCCGGGCTCTTGAGTTTTTCTTTAAATTGGCAACGTTGAAAATCCTTATTTTAAGTGGTGTTGGAGAGCTTAGGTATTATTCACCTGTATTCCTGAACTGGGGACAATTGTTGGTTTAATACCCTGATTGGGTTGGTCTATATGTTTTATGTAAATAAGCGTACATTAGCCTGGACTCCTGGGTTTTTCTTTAAGGTAACAACGTTGTCAATCCTTATTTTGTGGTGTTGGAGAAATTAAATATTATTCACGTATTGTGGTGGAATTTCTAAGCGATTTGTAACAATAAAGTTTATACAGTATTTTTTGATTCACATTAAACTGCAGTCGGTTTCCTTTGTGAGGCTGCTTTATGTTAGTGCCACCCTTCTGGTGACATTTACAAATATTGTGTTGATTGTACTGTTTATTAGCCTTATAGGACCCCACCAATTTATTTGGTAAATCAGTTATGTGACTGTTTAAATTATCAAATGATTCAATGATCGCCCTAATTTTGGGTCTATTTTTTCTATATTAGACCCATAAACAGACTAAATTTTATAATTTTTTTTGCTTGATGGCCAAGAAAGGGGGGGGGGGGAGATTAGCTAGCACCCCCTCCCTCCCTCATGAACCACATACCAAGCCACACTCTCACAACATGAGGAGTACATTCACAAAGGGAACTCATCTGGCAAAGCACCTTGACTCTTCTCCACAACCCTGGCTCAGTGACTGTGGAGGTTTTCTGACAGGAGGCTTCTGGAAGCACCACAACAAGGGGGGGGTCCAGATTATGAACCCCTATGTTAATGAGTAAGGGGTACATTAGTACCCCTA